ACTGTCCTTGGGGAATCTAGCAGTAGCCTTCTGATACTGCTGACTGTAGGAAGTTTTCTAGTGAGGGGCAGGCATTTAAAGTCTGACCCTTTAAGTGCCCTGGCCGGGTAGCTCAGTAGATTAGAGCATCATGCTGATATGCCAAGGTTTCGGGTTCGATCCCCAGTCAGGGTACATATAAGAACTAGCCACGGAATGTATGAATGAGTGGAACAATAAATTTATGTTTCTGTCTCTTTTCTCTCTCTCTCTTATTCTCTCTCCCCCTTTCTTTCTCTCTCTAAAATCAATCAATAAAAATAGTCTTACCCTTTTTAAAAAATCTTTTATTTTTAAAATATATTTATATTGATTTCAGAGAGGAAGGGAGAGGGAAAGAGAGATAGAAACATCAATGATGAGAGAGAATCATTGATCGGCTGCCTTCTGCACACCCCCTACTGGGGATCGAGCCCGCAACCCGGGCATGTGCTCTGACCAGGAAGCAAACCACCTCCTGGTTCACAGGTGGACGCTCAACCACTGAACCACGCTGGCCGGGCAGCCTCTCCTTCTAGATAGGAGCCTCCAATCAGAGACCCTGCTCTCTAGATTTTACTTGTCCTCTATGTGTCTTATAAAGTTGCTAACATGTAGTTAGAATACAAAGCTCAGTCTTTTTTCCCTTCCTCTGCCTCTGAGAGGGGAGAGTGAAGTAATCCAGAGGCTGTTGCCTTGAGAAGAAACAGATCTGAATAATCCATGGGCCAGCTTATGAAACATGTCCTGTACCGGGTTTTATAGAACAACTTCTCGTGCCAGTGTTTGCCTCAAAGGCTGTGGCTCAGATGACCTGATGGGGGAGGGAGGGCAGTTTGGTTATTCAAGTCCTTCCTTAGAAGCATTGGATCATAAAAATCACCAGGAAGTGATGTTTTGATTTATTTATTTTTAATATATTTTTAAAAAATTGATTTTTAGAGAGAGAGAGAGGAAGACAGATAGAGAGATAGAAACATCGGGGAATTGAACCGGCGACCTCTTGGTTCCTGGGTGGATGCTCAACCACTGAGCCCACCCTGGCCGGGCGGCGGTGGTGTTTATATTTCCATGTTTACTTTTGGACTTCAGTGACACCGATGACTTGCCTGCGATGACTGGGATTCAGATGCCACTCTCATCGCCTGGGCGGTTGTCCTGCAGAGAAAGAGCTCCATGCTCTGGAGGCTGTGTTACCTTGGGCAAGTCATTCTCCCTCAACACAGTTCCCATCTCTGAAAGCAAAAGGGTTGGGCTTTTGGAAATCCTCCCCTTATTAAACAAGGAGGCCAGCTCATGCTGCGACAATATATGACGCCCAGACCTCTGCTGTTTTCAAAGACAAAGGCTTGTTCCTTGCCCACCTCTGTGTGTGCTGTGCCCACTGCCTTCTTTCCACGGGGCTCAAGCTAACCGAGCGGAAGTCCCTGTCTGGACACTGCGGGTCTCTAGGCGGGGGAAATGGAGATGGAAACCCGGCGCGCTCCAGCAGAAGGCTGGGCTCGGGAGTGGCAGGTGTCACTCCCACCCCCATTTCCTGGACCCCAAAGCTAGTCAGCGTGAAGGAGGTAGGCAGGTGTGGCCCTCGCAGAGGGAAGGCCCATGGAGAGCTGTAGCAAATATTTGGAACAGTACTCCTCACCACCCACCCTCCTGTCTCCACTGTCCTGTGATCGGTGCTCAGGATGTTGGGTCCTTGGCTGGAAGCATGACCAGAATCAGATCTGAAGGCTTTCATATTTTCCTGCCTATTCCCTGTGTGAGGCACTTCCACTGAACGGGACTTGGAAGGAATATTTCGCTGGTGGGAGGGCTGTTTCCCGTATTATTGGGGGTTCGGTGCTCACACAGTCCAAACCTTTCAGGACACCACATGCAATTTCTCAGTCTGAGAAGTATTAACAGACCTGCAAGTAAACCGTGGCTGTGTAAGTACTTAGCTACATTCCTCACGTGCGAATTAAAAAGAGAGACTGCAGATCCCAGCAGTACATCTGCAAACGTTGAGGGCGATGCTAGGGAGTGGAATTTGGAAGCCTTTTGATACCACTGTCACGTGGACGGAATGCTCTATTGACTTCACCTGAAGTTTAAAAATGGCCTTTTCAAAATCGTAGGGGGAGGAAGGAACACAGAAAAGACACTTAATTTCTTGATTGGATAGAAATGGTCCGGGTAGATGAGTCTTCGGAGACTGGTTCATAGAAACCGTCTAGTTCCAGTTGTAATGTCAGCACCAACTGTCGAAGGCTTTTCTGTCTCACCCACAGAAACCTGCGTTCCCTCCAGAAATTAATCTCCTCTTTAGAGTCAGAACAAAACAAGAAACTTTGAAAGTAGAAATGTTGCCTTTATTCAGCAGGCATCACAGTGTTCCCCAGTTCTTAGAGGGAAGGCAGAGTCCTAGCCTCAAACCCCGCCTTGGACCTCAGCAGTCAGATGACTTCCAGGTCTTTCAATAGGAACAAGTTTTCCTTGCGAACTTGAGTTTTAAAGAGGGTCCCTTTGGAAAGTTGGCAAATACTGACTTTCCTGGCACGAGGACCAGGTTTTTTTCTTTTCCCCTCCACCCAGAGCTGTGACAGGGTGGAGTATACTTCCATGAAATTGCATGTTTCCAAAATAGGATCCGCTCTTATATTTTACTGCTGTTAGAATGGAGCTGCTGATCAAAAGTAAGCAAAAGCCAAGCACACTAGAAATAGAATTTCAGCTCATATTCTCTACTTTAGTCTGAATGATTATATTTGATCAAAGTACCTTTTGAGCAAAAATGTGGCAGATGGTTTCCAAGGGGGTCCAAATTCCATTCTCACTTCTGCAATCTCCTGTAGTGATATTCCCAAGGTCGTGGGGTAATCGTATCGTATCATGAATGCTGCCCGGCTCCTCTCGTAGTCTGTAGTCTAGGCAACTTCCAGGAAAGGGTGCTGCACTCTTGAGCTCCTCGGCTTTGTATCCCACAGCCTCCATCCAACCTACAGGACCAGGAGGGATCCTGGTGTTCCTTGCTAGTGAGTAGGCGGCATTCACTGTTGCCTGGGATGGGATGGTTCTGTCATGGAACTTGCTTGTGCATTACAGAAGCGATCGTTGAAGAAGGAATTTGGGATCAGCAGGGTGAGAACACTAGATGTATTGTTTTGCTGGATCCTATGGGTTCATTAGCTGATGGTCTATTCCCAGCCGATCATTTTCACCTCCAAGGTGAAGAGTAAAAAGGCTCTAGCGATGGCAGATAATGCCAGGATAGCACCTTTTAAAATGTTTTACTTGTTGGTTCTTAAAAATCGAGCCCTTAATAGTGCTCTAGAGGGAGAAAGGTGAGGGCCTTGGCCAGGAGATGATGCGCAGCCCTGTCTCAGACCTCTCCAGGATGTGCCCTGGCTTCTAGCCCACGTATACACACAGGAAGTGCTTAGTGAGTGTGGGATATACGTGAGCGGATTTAGATGTGGACTGGACGTAAAAGAGTCCTTCTGAGAGTGGATCCTGTAAAAGGATTATGAATATTTTAGCTGAGAGATAGGATGGAAATAGGAAAAATAGGTTGTTTTTCTATTACATATTTTTTTTAACATACTTTTAAAATTGATTTTTAGAGAGAAAGGGAGAGAGAGAAATATCAATATGAGAGCATGATATGGATCAGCCACCTCCTGCACTACCCCCCCCCCCCCCCCCCCGCCCCACCAGCCCTCCACTGAGGATCAAGCTGCAACCCAGGCACGTGCCCTGGCCAGGAATGGAACTGGCAACCCCTCAGGCACAGGACAACGCCCAACCAACTGAGCCACACCAGCCAGGGCTATGTGTTGAGTTTGACTAAAAAGGATTTTTAAAGGTGGTTCTTGTGATTTGAGTATAGTTTTTTTCCCACCAGAGACTGGCATGGTTGTCTTTTTCCTGTCTTTCAAGAGGAAAGAAGCAATAGAGATGACACTGCAGTGGGCGGGCAGCCTGGTTATTCCCTCCAGCAGGCATTTGGTCACGATGTAAGGGTATCCATGTCAAGCCGGGCCAGTGATAATTAGCTCTCAATTCTGACTGCCTCTCTCCAAAGGCATTAGGGTTTGGGTCACTGCAGACTTGCGTTAACCAACGTGCCAAAGTTAAGAGGAAGAGTTACGGTTACCAGGAACAGAAAGGTTGAAAGGTTTGCCAGGAAGTAATGCTGGAGGAGACTGACTGTTGTGGATGTGACTGTGTCTTAAGAGTATGGTCGAAGGAAGTGGGGTCCTGGAAAAAAAAAGGTTTGGGGTGAGGAGATTTCTAAGTGTTTGGGTAATTCTGAGGGTGCAGTTTTACTGGCGAGGAAATAATGCCCGGTATTCGCTGCTGAGAACAGTGGTCTGGTCTGAGGTCTGAGGTTGTGTATGGACACATTCTGTCCGTCTACAGTTGGCTGCTTTGAGGATGTACTTGGGGTTGGAAGGCTCAGTGTTGCATTTGATTCGATTTTTATGAGTCACAGACATGCCGGGCGAGCCTGGCTCCCAAGAGTTTTACCCCGTCCACTCGCAGAATTCCAAATATTTGGCCTCTTTGTGATCCGCCCTACCCAAACTTTTGACTTCAAACAAATCGTGTGTTTCCAGAACCTTTTCAGGAAGCACACTGTGGAATGTGTTCTGGCAGCTGTGTGGCTGCGGGCGCCCAGGTGTGGAAGCGCAGATTTCACTCGCGGTCTCTGTTGTGAGGAACTGGCCCTTATCAGTGGTTCGTGCTGCTGGCCCACAATGGGCTGGTTTGATGAGAAGGCTCTCAGCCTCAGAATGAACGGGGTGTGGCACCTGCCACATCAAACAAAGATACACAGGCAGGGGTCACTTCCCATCTTTCAGAGCGCTGACCTCTGCTAGCATCACCTGCGTATCTTGCTGTGGACACAGGGTTTGATATCTAGAGACACCGATGTTACGGGAATATATTCCAAGTGTGTGTTTTTTAAGGTTATTTGTTCCTCTGTTCCCACGAACCAGGTATCAGTATTACCTGCAAGTCAAAAAAGACGTGCTCGAGGGGCGATTGCGGTGCACGCTGGAACAGGTGATTCGGCTGGCCGGCTTAGCTGTGCAAGGTAAGAGACGGTGCTGACCAGCGTGTGAAATCCCACGATCTGTTTGATTATGATGTCGCCAGCCTCTGGGAGGGAAAAGTGAAATTTACTTTACGATCCCTTAGGAATGCTCCCTTTTCATTTCGAGGTAGCATAAGTTAAAGATGCAGAGTAAGTGATTTTTGTGGCAGGATGGTGGCTCTCTCAGGGCTGTAGGCAAATGGCTACTGCTTGTATAATCTCAGTGTTTTTATGAAAGAATAGCAGCTTTCATCCTGCCTTTAATTAAAGCTGCATTTCAGGGTTTGTGGAACATTTTCTCAGAATCATTCCACTGCCCAATGTGGTCATATTTTGTGGCTCAATGCGATGGCTGTGTGACTTTCACATCCGTTTCAAGTGTGAGAGCTTTAAACGGCATAGTCTAATGTATTCCTTTACAGTTAAAGAGAGAAATTGAAAATGCACAGCTGTAATATGAAACTGCAAACGTGTACGGGACTAAATTTATCTTTCGACCTGTCCCACTTAAATTTATCAGAGAGCTATTTTTTTTATCATCTCTAAGTTGTTACATATATTTTTTTACATATGTTTATATAACAGATGTTACATAATTTTTTTACATGTATTTCTACTCATTATTGAGTAATAGCTTAATTATCTTGAGTCATATTAAACACAAGATACAGCCCTAGCCAGTTTGGCTCATTGGATAGAGCGTCGGCCTGCGTACTGAAAGGTCCCGGGTTCGATTCTGGTCAAGGGCATGTACCTCGGTTGCAGACTTCTCCCAGCCTGGGCCCTGATTGGGGTGTGTGTAGGAGGCAACCAGTTGATGTGTTTCTCCCACATCAATCGATATTTCTGTCTCTCCCTCTCTCTCCCACTCTCTCTAAAAATCAATGGAAAAATATCCTCAGGGTAAGGATTGAAAAAACCACCACCACAAGATAAAGATACAATTTTTGGAGAGAAACGTGTTTTCCTTTCAGTCATTTACTTTAAAATCATTTAACGTCCAAATGGAAGCCTGCCCATCCTTGCTGTATGGGCTGTTATTTTAGAAGCTGTGAACGGGACTTCCCATCCCAAACTCTGAACTGCAGTTGAATCTTTTGGGCTCTGAAATGTCTACAGAGGCAGCCTTCCCTTGACCTCTTTCCTTCGGGGTGGTAGCAGGTTAGTGGTGTCTGTTGGCTGTACAATTGTTACCCTGTGGATGGAAGGACAGAGGACATGCTGTATCCCATCTCTCCACTTAAAGACCGGAAAAGGAAGGAACAGTGCCCAGAACAGTGTAACAGAACAATCAGTGGCTATAACAGGAAGTCACGAAATAATGGAAAAAGACACCCTTCACAGGGAGAAGGGAGAGAAGGTCCAGTATGTGCCTCATCTTCACATTCGTTCTTTCTCCTTTTAAAAAGCTTTCCTTTCTGTTAATTTTCTCCCTTTTCTTTTCTCCCCTCTTACTCTTTAATGTTGTTGTTAATCCTCACCTGAGGATATGTTTCCATTGATTTTTTTAGAGAAAGTGGAAGGGAGGGGGAAAGACAGAGAGAAACATTGATGCGAGAGAGACACATTGATTGGTTGCCTCCCACACATGCCCCAACCAAGGCTGGGGGTCAAGCCTGCAACCAAGATATGTGCCCTTGTCTGGAACCGAACACAGGACCCTTCAATCCATGGGCTGATGCTCTATCCACTGAGCCAAACCAGCTAGGACCCCTTCTCACTCTTCAGTCACTGGGCTCATTGTGGGCATCCTGGGTTCGTGAAGGCCCTGGTGATAGCTTTTAGGCTGAAGGAAGTTGGTGAACCTTCTCCTTGGCTCCTCTTCCTTCTGATGAAAGCTGCTCTGGGTGTAATGTTTGTAAATCACTTTCCTGAGAGCCTGACTGGGCAGTTAGAAAGACACATCGGTAGAGATATGTCAGCATGAAATATGATCACCGATGGCCAAACGTGAACACAGGCAGAGCACGTGGTCTTTGCTCTTCCTGGAGGCCTCCCCTGGTTGTAATCAGTTACGTGTCTGGGCAGTGCTTCTCCTCTATGTCCTCCTTTCCCCCCATTGACCCCGTCTAGCCTGCCCCCACCCCAGGCCTTCACCACACTGTGTCCATGGGTTATGCACATATGCTTGCAAGTTCTGTGGTTGATCTCTTCCCACCCACCTGCCCCTTCTGGGCAGTGCCTCTCCGATGGCCTTCTGTGGGGATCCTGGCCTTCTCTGTCTCTTGTTACCTTACAGTGACCTGACTCCACTTCTACCTGATGCTAAATCTTTTATGTGAAATTACATTTCATGCTGCTTTAATTTTTTTTTTTTGGAAAGTAAGTGGAATTAGAAGCAAGAGACTTATAGATTTATTCTTTTTTTAAATTTAGAATCATAGGATTCTAATTTTTATTAAAAGATCTTTATTGTTGAAAGTATTACAAAGCCCCCTCTTTCTCCCTCATTGACCCCTTCTAGCCACCGCTGCCCCCTTACCCCAGGCCTTCGCCACACTATTGTCTGTGTCCATGCGTTATGTATATATGCTTACAAGTTCTGTGAGCTCTTCCCTCCCACCCACCCCTTCTGGGCAGTGCTTCTCCCCTGACCTTCTGTGTGGATCCTGGCGTTCTCTGTCTCTTGTTACCTTGAAGTTACCTGCATCCATTAGTACCTGATGCTAAATCTTTTACATGAAAGAAAATTTCATGCTGCTTTCATTCTGTTTTGTTTTTTGGAGAGTAGGTGGGACTAGAAGCGAGAGGTTTATAGATCTGTGATACAGGCTCACTGTGTGCCTTTTGCCTGGGCTCAGACCTAGCACCGTGAGATGAAAACAGAATTTTTGGCATCTTGCAGCCTGTGAAGATGTTTAGTAGGAGGTGTCAGGATTTGCAAGGGTGCTTGCCAAAGGTGATTTACAGGGGGAATTTCCAGCTGCAAATGTCTGAGGAGCTAGAGATGGGCTCGGCTCTTCAGTTGCCCAAACGAACCCTGCGTTAGAAAGTCCCCTTGGCACACATTCTGACGGGCTGTGTTGATGCATATTTAACTAGAAGATAAATATAGGTTTGGGTGTAAGTTTTAAAATAGCTTAAGAATCACTTTCAGATTTTCCCATTCTTTCTAGAAAATCGCGTAGCAGTGCTAGGCATTCCTAGTATTGCTAGGTAAACGTAGCAACAGTATCAAGCACATCTCGGCACTTTTTTTTTCGTAATAGTGCAGAAATAGGATGATGCGGGAAGAATAAATGTGATGATACGTGCACCCTGTTTTATTCCATCTTTAATTTCATATAAAAAGTGAAATTATTCCCCCTTCTCTTCTTTTCAGCTGATTTTGGAGACTATAACCAGTTTGATTCTCAAGATTTCCTCAGAGAATATGTGCTATTTCCTATGGTAAGTGTAATGTCCTTTTTCGCAATTAATTTTCTACCTTCTTGGGATGTTTAATTCTTTTTTGGGGAATCTCATGCTATTTGACCCACACACATTTCCTGGGGAAGAAAGTCCATGAATGTATGGAGTACGGACAAGGTTTATAAAACTATGAAAAAGGAAAGATGTGTCTTCCCACCTCCTCAAGGCACTTCTCTGCCCCCTCTCCCTGCCCCCGCTCCACACACACCGCCACCACCACTACCTGCCACTGCCACCACTGCTACTGCCAATGCCATGGCCTTCTGCCTTCCTGGACACATGGAACTTATTCCCAAACCAGATCGGTTGCACGTGGGTTCCTCTGCCTGGAATGCTCTGCCTGATATTCCTATGACTTGTCATTCGGGTCTTGATTGAAATACCTCCTCCTTAGACAGGACTTTTTTGTCCCTGACCACCTGCGTGATGCACTTCAGCCCCAAGCCACATCCTGCTAGATCGCCTTTGGTGTGTGTACTTCAGAGATCTCAGTATCTGAACGGCTTCTCCCTCTCCCTCTTCTTTCATCCCTCCCCATCCCCCTCCTTCTCCCCCCTTCCCTTCCCCTCCTCCTCTCCCTTTCCCTTCCATCCCTCTCCCTTCTATCCCCTCGCCTCCCCCCTCCTTCCCCCCGTCACATACACGCGACTTTCTTTCCTTTCCCTTCCAGACCATTTCTTCATGCCGCCTCCATCTATGGCCTCTCCCGCTTGGACTGCTACCACTGACCTGCAAGAGATGGTCTCAGCATGCTGCACGAATCTGGAGTAGTTCATGTGTTATGGCACGTGTGCTTATGT